CACAGACACACACACAATATATTACATGGTGAGAACCGCTTGTTAAACAATCAATGTTACAAAAACATAAACCTTCACCACATTGTGTTTATCAACTATAGATTATATAATGGATGCGTGTATGAAAATACATGTAAGACAGAATACCAATCAGTTATCGAGTATGCAAATATTACATTCATGACACTGATGTTCCCAGCTGATCACTTACATTAAGAACTGCAACATTGTTTTGTATTACAAAACATTATTTTCTAAAATGTTGCATCATCTAACTAAATCTACACTAATTTGCATACATTTCCAGAAAATAAATCTGAACACTGGATAAAGCCAGGTTCAACATTCTTGTTTGCTTTTGTTGACATATTACAGTTTTTGAATTTCACAGATTTTCAATTTCTATTTTAATTACTCAATAAATCAGAAAATACTGCCAACAGCCAGAAAAAAAAAAAGTTGACCATGTTTTTAGGAATATAATGTTGTATAATTCAGTGTGAAGGATATATGAACAAACCCCTCAGTAAAAACCTTCAGAATATAGAGAGAAATTAGTTTTAGTGTGTAAGTGCTGCTGAAGTGGAGGAAAAACTCTTTAAATAAATGGACTGAGATTGAAATCTACAGATGTGTATAGATAAAGTGTCATAGAATAAACACTTAAATGTGTATTTTGGATGTTTTCTTTCCATTAGTCTGAAAAAGACATGTTATGGAAGCAAAACTGACCAGTGCATGAAAAACACTGTTGTTTCTGATTTATACATGAGTCCAGTGTAGGCTACTATGAGATATACTGTCATTTTCAGACCTCAAACTTCCTCTTCAATCCCAAACGAACATTAATTGCGACTAAACAGAAACAACTCAAGACAGATATCCAACTGTAATTGCATATGATGTCTCTGATCTTATTTTGAACACTAATTTAAGTCAATAGGACATTTTCTTTGTACTTTTAATAAATCTAATCATAATTCAGTATGAAAATAAATGCTAGAGAAAAGTCCAATGGTAATTCAGCATGCAAAGTATCTTTGTACTTTAAGAAATATAATCATCATAATTCAGTATAAAATACATGAAAGAAAGACATCCAGTGGTAATTCAGTATGCAAATAATACAGTTATGTCACTGATGCTTTTCTGAATACTGAACATTGTTTCAGTGTCAGTTAATAGAAGATTTGTACTCTTGAGAAATGTAAGTTTTAAAAGAGTTTATATAGAGCACAGGCAGAACGCACATACAGCATAAAGCTGAAATGATCTACAAAATGCAGTTTGAGTGAAATCCGGATGTTAATTGATTCAAACGGAAATATTTGCAGAAAATTGTGCTGAATAATGAAGCATTTGAGGAAAATGACTGAAGTGCTGCATTGCAAACACTGAGAAGTCATCTGTGTGGCGTTTTTCTTACTTTCCCAGCGCGAAGCACTCCAGCGTGACGTTCTGCCCCAGCAGCGTGTACGTGTCTGGAGATTTGACTTTGATATCAGCGGGATATTTCCTCAGAGAACCTGACAGAGAGCAGATATGAGACGGCAGTGAATGACTGAGGTCCTCATGGATACGTTCTTTCTTCCAGCAGAACGAGCGAGTCTCTCCTGTTTGTTTATCAGCTCTGAGGCGCTTTGACTCAACATTCTCATGATGCTGTGACAGTCACGAGCAACTGTAATATTACACACACGCGTACGAATCAGGAGCATGCTATGTTGGGACTGAATGGAGGATGTAGTTTTACACTAGAGATGTGCTTTAGATATTAAATGTTCATGAGGAATTAAAGCAAGACAGCACAGGTGAATAGGATAACAATAACTAACTAACACAAGCTGATCACAGTACATTAAGAATTGAAACATTGTTTTTTATTACAAGTTTTCTAAAATGTCATGTTTAAATATGAAAATCAGGCGATTCCTAGAGAAATATGCGCTAATTGTACGCATTTACAGAAAATAAATCTGAACGTTGGATAAATCCAGGTTCAAAATTCTTGCTTGATTTTGTTGACATATTAGAGTTAAAGGTTTTTACAGAGGAGATTTTAGAGTTCTCTTTTTATCACTCCATAAATCAGAAAATACTTTCAACAGACAGAAAATAAATATATTTTCACCATGTTGTTATGTATACATCAGTGTGAATGATATATAAACAAACCCCTCTGTAAAACACTTCAGAATATAAATGAGAATAAAAACAATGTTGTCTTAGGATAAACTGTTACTGATATACTGAAATATACTGTTACTTTCGGACCTCAAACTTTCTCTACTGTTGAAAACGAGCATTTATTTGAGACTAAACAGCAGAAACGATTCATTCTGGACAGTTTTCTGTCATCACACAGAAGAACATCCACTGCTGAGTGATCAGAAACTCCTCCCGTCCAGTCATGCTGAAGTAGGATACTATTATTCCTGAACACGTGTGTGAAAGCTTGCTCTTGTGTGTGTGGAGCAGGTTTCTTTGAGGATTTCTTTGAAGAGATTTTTTGAGCTTGAACAGACCTAAAATAAGAACCAGCTGACTCAGAAATACTTCAGAAACCACAGACAGTTTGTTTCTCTTTCAGATCTTTGCTGTCCCTTCCTCACTCAGTAACACTATCAAGTGGTTTCTACAATAGAAGATATAACAACACTCTTATCATCTGGCAGCACCTCTGCATAAGCCTCACTCACATTTTATTCAGAAACTGAAAAACAGTATTAGTAAGAATAGTACAAACAGTAGTATTTACACTGGTGTTAAAAGCAAATGGGTTTAAAACATCTACACCTATAACCTTGATTTAAACTGCAAAAAATGATTTTCTCCTTCAGTATTTTTGTTGTTTTCTAGTAAGTACACATCTGAAGATTCTTAAAGCAAGATACATTTACTTGAGACGCAAAATGACTTAAAGTCTTGTTTTCAGAAAAATGTAGTTCATATTTGTATAAAATATCTGCCAGTGCGGTCAGAAAAATAAACCTAATTCAAAAGGGAAAATCCTTTTTTAATATATTTTTTCAGTGTAGGACGATGATAAAGAGACTCACGCTCGGCGATGGGCACCAGTGGGATGAACTTGCTGAAGACGCTCTTGGCGATGGACGGACTGGAGACGAAACAGGAGTAGTTCCCGCTGTCTGACGCTCGTACGGTGGAGATGTAGAGGTTTCCAGTGGTCTGAGACACGAAGCGCTGCTTGTCCAGAGGAATGAATTCCGGAAACTCGTTGAGTATCCAGCGGAAGAACAGATCCTCTGTAGAGAGCACAGACAGGAAATGATGCAAATGTGTCAGTCAAACTCACAAATGATTGTCAAACCATAGAGTCAGGTGCCATGGTAACCTGGGAAGTGTGGAGGCGGAGCACACAGAAGCACCGCCCCCTGCCCCTCCTTCACATAGACCGCCTCTCGCTCGTCCGAAGAAAACATGTCCAAGTCTAAAACACAAGATGGAGATTTTATTTCAGTTTTAGTTTGGTGTAATAACCCTGATTCATGTTGTGTGTCTGTGTGTGAGAGTGTGTGTGTGTGTGTGAGAGAGAGTGTTTGTGTGTAAGTCAACAGGCCGTTCAGGGCAGCTTTAATAGAGCTCTTCTGTAAGAGTGACTCACATCCGAACTGAACAGAGGCTTTCTGACTGACGAGCGTCCCAAACTCATTGCTGGCCAGACACGAGTAGTTCCCAGCATGCTTGCTCTTGTCGGGGAAGCTGATGACGAGGTTTCCTCCCATCAGACTGTAGTGATCGTCATTTCCAATAACGACTTCTGTGTTGTTCAGCCTCCACCTGAGAACAAACACACACACACACACACACCATCAGAACTGATGCAAAATGCCTTTACTGAGACTGATTTATCAGATTATTGCTGATACATTTATTACAGAAGTTCTACAATGAATGAATCTAAATAAATCTAATGGTCAATGATAAAGAAGATTTAGAGGAATTATGATGTGGAACCAAATTAAGCCAAATTACAGCAGCAAATTCTTTTAGACTGAAGTGCCACAAAAATAGACATGATACCGTGATAATATCACTTAATGGACACTGAACACATCATTCCTTGAAATACTTTGGAAGTAACATATGACAGGGTTATTATAGCTAAAAGTAAAAGCATTTTTTTTTAAATTATTTGAAAAAAAAAAAGAACGAAAAAACATTAACTGAAAAAAATATTTAATATAAAAAAATTATTTCATTTCAGCTAATTAACAAGATAACATGCCCCTTTTTCATTAGGCATATTAGACATATTAAATTAATATAAAATGCAAATGGAAAATATAAAAAATAAAAACTTAATTTAATTCACCTGTAATTTTAAAGTCTAATTTTTTTATGTGAATTATGAACTACAGCACTGTCACAGAACTATTTTCAGTGATGGAGTGAATAATAAAGAAGATAATTGGACTATTATTGTTGAACTTAGATTATTTATTGGATCATCATTTATCATCTTAACCCTATAAAAAGTCATATCCATCTATAATGTTTGAATATTGTAAACCTTCAGTAGTACGGTATATAAATGTAGCATGGTATATAATGTCCAAAAATATATATACCATACTACATATATATATATATATATATATATATATATA